GGGGGTTGCTGGGAAAAAAAGAATTTTAAAATGTTGGAGGCTGAAGCATCAGTCACTGACATATATTCATCTGAAACAAAGACGACTTTTTTTTTTTAATCTGTGGTGCACATAGACACAGAAAGAAAAATACTTTGGCTGTGAAATCTCCCCAATCTTCTCTGGGGAGGCTCAGGCCTCTGCCTGCTGTTCATCAGCCTTGATTTTGATGGGGCGATTTTTAGTCAGCTGCCTCAATCATTTTGGCACAGACAAAAATCCTTTAAAAAATGTTACACTTCATCAAAGTGTATCATGAGACTTCACGGTCATTATCTCAATGGCCGCTCTGATGTGCTACAATTGGCAGAGACACAAACGGTAGGGGGTGTAGGAGAAGAAAGCCAGCGTTTCGTGTGGAAAGCTGGCAGGCCTCGCCAAGCTTCTGTCAACAACTCCGTGGTCTGATCCGATGCACTGAGCGTGCTGATGATGCTCTTGTTTCTGGAGGAAGTAAACAAGAAAATGAATTCCACCGCGTAACACAGCCTCTTTGTATCTTCCAAATGGTGTGACTGGACCTGGGCCAGCTGTGTTGCAAGTTTGGCCATTTATGTCATCTGGGCCCCAGTACTGATGAAGGCTTTGATTATGACTTGGACCCAGCTATAAGACCCTTCAGGGGCAGCCACGCAGCAAATAAAGGCATTGATTGGTTGTTGGGTCAATTTAGCCATAAGGGTACAGAGCATGGCTCTTTTGAAAAGCCTAATGGATTAGCTACACAACCAGTCCCACTGCAGGCCTTATTTTTCAAGGAACTCCATGAGTTTTCCAGTTTGGCAGGGAACTAACTCTTCCTCCAGAGCGAGCTTTGGAGCTGTTCTTGTTATCAATAGTAGGCTCAAAGGATTAGACACAGTGGGCTTTACAATTTAATGAAAACAGCTGTTGAAGCAACAATTAAGGCAAACAATAGTTTGCATGGAAAACTATTAATTATGTAAAGTTATGCAGAAAGTGGAATACTCTTTTATTCAGGGCCTTCTTCTAAAGTGACTGAGCCGCCTTCCATTCCATGGCTCTCAAGTGTCAGGAAGTAGGGTGCTTGTAGGAAGCGCTCCACTGCGTGTGGGTTGAATGTAAGCAGAGCTCAAGGCTGCCAGTTTGCTGCAAAGCCAGTCATGGGGAAAATATTCAGGAAAAAAATATCAGTTCAATTTACATTACCATGGGTATCTCAGATACAAACTCAGAGCTGTGTTTTCACAAGTTTCTGAAATTCAATTTGAACCTTGTGGTTGGGATCTCTACTTTTGCTTTTTTTAAAAAAACATTTGTTTAATATGCCTCCTTTCTGGCCTCAATCTCCCTGAAATGATGTTAACAACAACATTATTGTCTAAGTCATTAGTGAGGAACTGTCAGAAAGGAATCACTCCTGGGGAACTGGTGAAGTCCCTTGTTCTTTAGACTAAGCAGATTTTCATTCTATTTGGATGGCCCAACTTGGACTCTCAACCATCCCCTCTTCCACCTCCTCCCCTAGAAAAGCTCATCTTTCCTTCCAGTCCCTCTGCTTGCTGGGGCTTTAAATTCATTGCTTCTCTCTTTGCAATTTCCATCCTTGACTAACAGTGCTGGGAATTGACTTATGGCCCTTCTCCTACCCCGTGTTCCACAGCTCACTTTCTTCCCGTGCGGGAATCACCAAGCCAAGAAGTCCCATTAAGAAGGTTATTAACTGTATACATAAACATTGCCTCCTGCCTACAGTTAGATTTATTTCTCATCACCTCCAAGTAACTGGTTTTAACACTCTTTCCAGCACACCCAACACCTTTTATTTGACTATATTGTTTTAGAGAGGCCTCTGGGAATTTAGCTAATTTCATGCTGGAACTTATTAAGTGGGATTTGACACTCTTTGATAATTCCAATAAGCCATTAGTCATGTCTCACTCCCCTCAGGGAAAGAATGGAAGCTTTATTAGTCATAGAGTCTCTATTCTAAACATGTTACCTGAATTTAGTGGAGTATTGGTACTGAAATGCAACTGACTAGCTTGAATACAACTTTCCCTGAAACTGTAAAAAAGCTGTCATTGGCTATCAACAGTAAGGGAGCATCTGTGTTTTTCAGAAAATTCTCATTAGGTTCACCTGAGCATTATGACATAATTCAGTGAGCTTAATTTACTCTTAATGTTAATAAAAGGTACAGTGTAGGCGCGCACACACACATACACACACACACACGCACACACAAATTCTAAAGTATTTGGTTTAGTCCTTTCTTCCACCCAGAATAATCTCCTTTCTTTCTATGGATAGTTTTTAGATCTGGAGAGACCTCCATCTCTAGAAGGCCCCATAACATAATTGAGTGTGCAAATGACATTCATTACTAGGGTCACAACAATAATCCAATTAACATGTATTTACGTAATGCTTTTAAAATCATTCTAAACTAAAAAAACACATTCATCTTTGAAGTATAATGAAAAATAAGTGCCGTGTCCCAGCACACTCTGGTTCACACTTTGCACTGGAGAGTACAAAACAGCATCAAGATTGCAAAAGCAATTATTCCAGTTAGCCAGATGTGATTTTTCAATCATTCTAAGAATTTTATTTTTTAGCCGTTCTTATTCCGTGGCACCACTCACAGCTCTCATGCTGGCACAGTGCTTACATCTCTTCATTATTAATTCAGCTCATGGAGCTTAATTGGACAAGGCTAGAGCGAATTTGACAAACATCACAGCAGCAGAAAAAGCAATCACTCTTTCAAGATGAAAATTTGTTTGATGTCTTACTGTGTAACTCATTTACTCTCCTCGGCAGTCATGTGACCTGAATGTTAATCAGCCATTGATTGGTTCCTCTCCTTGGACAGTCATGCGACTCGAATATTAATGGGCTGGCACTTGGTAGCTGTGCTGTTAGGCAACCTTGTGATTGGCTGCCAGGTTAAGATACGGAGATAAGTGGGTGCTTGATGAGCACTTGACAGAACTTCACAGAAAATTAAGGCCCTAAAATAGCATGAGAAAGTCTTGTCAAATCAAGCATGATTATCATTGAATGCTTAAGGAATTCATCATCTGCATGAAATTGATACACTTCAGCACCAGCAGGCCCTGTAGTCAGCAGGGACTCATCAGATTTTTATTTATATGTGTTCACCAAATCACATTAATTCTGAGAGCTAAAACATGCTAAGGATGAAGGTTATTTTCTGTTCAATCTAATTTATCTATGACAATAATCATCACTAATAATGTGTCAAATTGGATTGCAGTCATTTTATGCATGCATGCTGATTTAGAAAATAGTGTTAAACCATCCCGAGGTAATTAACAACCGGTAAAGGTATGCCGTCCCGAAGTAATCAGCATATCTAGATGGAAAATTAAGTTTTATAGAATGAATTTATAGATACATATCCTTATTTAATTCGGAATATAAATTATTCCTGGTAAGAGCCGACATCATTTTTACAACACCATTAAGGCCAATAACTACTGAGGGACTCGAATCCTTAATTTGCTCCATCCTTCATTTTTTCTCTCATTTTCTGTGGTTAACTTTCTAATGGATGTCACTTCCTTCTTGGCAAGTCCTCATTTTAGAGGGTTTTGGTAATACTGAGCAATGAATGAATATGCATGGGCTTAAGCGTTAATCATGGATGAAGGACTCTGCATCGCACCTCTTAACACACAATGCTTTATGATTATTGGCGGGGGTTGGGAGGTGGGCATCTGGGAGAATACAAAGAGGGGGGTTCGGCCAGACTTTGGCCTTTTGCTGTTTCTCTATTATTTCTCCTCACAAAGGGACAACAGGAAATTTTGCAGATTAACTCATAAGGGATTAATGATTCTTGGGGAATCATTTAAGTCTAAATTGCTTTTGTTGAAATACCTTTTATGGAATAGAAGCTGGTGTGTGTGTGTGTGTCTGTGTGTGTGTGTGTGTGTGTAAATAACCTCCTGCTTAACAGGGCATTATTTGAGTAATGGAGTATTGGAGTAATGAAATCTTAAAGAAATGTTTATACCCTTTGGTGAGTTTGGCTAAAATGTTGGAGGGGAGAATTACACCCCGAGAAGAGGGGGTGAATAAATACCTAGAATCTGTTGCTTCTTTCCCACCACAACCTCCTCCCTCCCCCATGCTCCTCCCACCCCCATCTTAATCTCCTGTGCGACCAGGACGGCCCTTATTCTCTCCCACCTCTCAGGAGGTCTCTTTATTGATTAAATGAATCTGCTGCAAAGGCTGGCTCGAAGGCTCTTTGATCTAATCCGATCTGATTTTATCCTATCGCTTCAGCAGGACATCAGGGAATTAACAATAAGCAGCTTTACCACAAGTGTTTAATAACTCAACACAATCTCCTTATGGCTCCGAGCTGCTCATGTTCCCATCCAGTCCATGGCAAACAGTGTAACAGATTGGCCATCACCCGCCCCCCAACCTGAGGAATTTTCATGCACTGTGAAACTAATCGCTTCAAGTTCCTTCATAAATCACACAAAGCAGATTTTAGCATCTTAACAAATTGAAAAAACAACAACAACAAAAACAGCAGAGTGGGTTGGGGGGAGGGGGCGTGACAGAGAGGACTCACCCTCCAGCAACAAGGGGGTGGGAAAGAGGCAGGCTTTCTAATGTTGCAGTGGGGGAAGAGGCAGATGTGAAATAATAACTTCTGCTTCTCATGCAATATGTTTCTCATCTCCTTAAATTTTAACATGAATGAAATAATTTGAGTAGGCTCAAACCTAACAATGCTCCAAGCTCACAATTGACCTTTTTTTTTTTTCCACTGTGATGGAAACGATGTGGTTTCAACAGGCCTCTTACTCTTGTTCCTGTGACAGCCCTTGAAGTATGCAAGACAAACACAATTAAACAAGGACTGTGCATCCTGTGTGGTGCAGACAGCCAACATGTTATTAGGCTGAAGTATGTCTCCTGGATTTCAGACCAGCATACACGTATAATGGGGTGTCTTAAATGATCACTCAATTACAAAACACCGTTTTTTGAAATGCCTTGGGTTTTTTTGTGTGTTTTTTTTACTCAGGACTGCCCCGATATATACATCCCTAGCTCTAAATTGCAAAGGCAAAATTCATTTACTATCTTCCTCGCCTCCAAACAAAAAAAGAGCGTTATACCCCTCTTTTCTAAATATCACCAGCACAGTGAGTAAGGAGGGTTCTCTCCTTTTCTAAGGCAGAAATCATGATGCAGTGGCTCACCCTTATGCCAGAACAGACAGAGCTGGAGTCTGTGAGAAACTCGGAGGGAAATGGGCGTATGAAAGCTGCCGGCTTATTAGTGCCATGGGGGAAATTTCACTCTAGCACTAATTTAAAATAAAACATCTTTTAGTTGCTCTTTTTAATACCTACTGTACATCAGAATTACCTACAAAAACATGTTTCATAACAGAGAAACAGCCCCATCTCTCCACCCCTGTCACTGTCCCCTCCATTACGCTGGCAGTTCTGTGATTTCTCACTACATCAGCAGAGTAACGACTTGCCCTCTTACTGAACATCTGGGGGCACAGGGAATTCTGTGACTCAGGTTCAGGCCAGATTACTATAACCGTGGTGAGATCTTTTTCCATATCCCCAGGGCCCAGGGCACTTACAAAGTCACTTTGATTCAGCTGGATGTTTCATTATTGCTTTCTCAAGTAAAAGCATTTATTTTTATATCCTTATATCCTCCTCCACCCACATCCATTCATCAGTATGTATCCAGATTTTCCCACCACTAGTTGGATCCAACATTTTGAGATGGCTCCCCATCCCCCAGCCAAAAAAAAAAAGGAGATTCTGATTTTGCGATTTCTTCTCAATATGGAATGGAACGCTGACATGAATGGTGTTATTATTTCCTCTTTGGAAATGCCTTTTGCCTTACCCCCCTCCCCTCCCCCGTCTCAGATAAATTATGTCATAACAGAAAAATCCCTGTGAAGTTCTCCAAAGAACTCTATGCTGCTTCCAGGCCCTGGAACTATAATTATGCCTTGCGTAATTACAACAGAAAGACCATCCCCTGCCAACTGTGAGTGCCCATTTACATCAGAAAGAGATAGCAAAATGTACTCAGGAAGGTTCCAGCCAAAGTAATTGAGAGGGCTGCCTGAACCCAGCTCTGCTTTCTAAATATTGTCCCTAGGTTAGGGACAGGAGAGGCCACAGAAGGGGGAGCAGGGGAGGAGGACCCCAGCCAGAGGCCTGTTGACCTTTCCCGCCTGGCACAGAGTTCAGTGACTTCTGGGCCTGGTGTTGACTGAGGTCTTGTTGCACACTTAGTCCAGGTGCTTCTGCTGGGGAGCTGCAGACCTGTCACTCCACTGCGCGGTGGCCTTCAGATGTCCTGGATCCCTGCACTCACACAGAACAGTTCAGGACATTCCGCCAGGGTGTAAACGTTCTCCCCACCAAGTAGTACAAAGAAGTCTCCTCTGATTACAGTTCTCTTAGTTCACAAGCTCATCCTTCTTTGGGTTTCCTGCAATTGGAACATGAAAAAGAGAGAGACAGAGAAAGAGAGAGAAAAGAAAGGGCATTAAGGAAAAAGAAAAAGAAAAAAACAAAGCCACAAGTTGGGAGGAAAAAACCCTATGAAATGGAAGTGCATTATGTTTTTGTACATTTTCAAAATGTAGCCAAACTAAACCATTAAATGAGGATTTTGTTTCACAAAGTCTGCAAACTATTCAACCGCTAACCCACTATACCAAGAATGTGGTGCCAACCAAAATATGTCAAGATTAGTAGTGCTCAATAAAATCTCAAAACCAAATGACATGCAAGCTGTATTTCGTGATTAGAGCGCTTCCTTATGTCAGGGAACATACATATTAACTTGTTTAAACACAGCGATGGCTGTCACTCTGTGTGTCAAAAGCAGAGGAAGGAGAATCTAGTGCCTACGGAACCCACCCAGATGAGACTTCACGCTTTCCATTTCCCTGGCAGACAGCACGGACACCTTCCAATTAATGCTCACGTCATCTGAGAGAAGAGGAGCTAAAGAAGGGAGGAGAGTGGGGGGAGGAAAAAGAGAGGGGGAGGGGTGAGAGAGACCTTCCCACTTCACAAATCAGGGTAGTAAAAGCCAGGGTTTGCAAGGCCCTGACACAAGTACAGAGCTGGGATTTACAATGAAAAATGCTTACCTTTTTATGCCAAGTCACCAAATTTACAGAATGCAAACACCTCAAACATTGTTTTTAAATGTAGGAACCAACATTTACATAAAGCTTTAAGGTCTACAAAGGACTCATACATTTTGTCACTGAATCCTCATCACCGTATGGTCATTTACATATTATTATCCTCATTGAACAAAAAGGAGGCCCTAGTCTCAGAGATGAAGTGACCTGACCAAGCAGCTACATCCTGAGCCAAGGAAAACCAGGTGGGACGCCTCTGCCTCAGGCCTGCAAACCAAATGGGAACTGCGCAAAACGAAGCTGCTCCTCCCAACACGGCGTTTCTTTTTGCACCAAAAAGCTTGCGTTTGAGCAGGATTCTAAAACCGGAGAGGGGTGATTATCTCATTCCCTGACTGTCAACAGCAAGGAGCTGCTGTGTGCTCCTACCTGGCAGGAGAACGGAAAAGAAGCTGTTCTCTCACTTACAAAATAAGGTAGGAAGATGTGATTATGTTAGAAACACTTGAGGGGGCTTTTGGGTGAAAAGGAAAAACCAGAGCCTGCTTCCATCTGTTATTTGGGTGCTTCTTCCCTTGTGTGAGCCTGGCAAGTTCCCCACAGGCACTGACACAAACTCCCCCCTCCTCTCCTGTCCCCCTACACCCACGTGCCTTGTTGGCATTCACCCTCTTGATGCTGGAGATTCACGCCTCCCTGTAACTGCCACGTAGCCCTGGGGTGATGTGGGGGAGAACTGGAGTCAAACCAGCGTCTCCTCTGACATGTTGCAACATGGCTCCTTCCCGTCTGCCCTTCATACCGCAGCCTGAGGGGGCCAGTGGAGCCTCTATGTGGTGGTGGGCATGTCAGTTCCCATCCACCACACATACCTTAGCCCAATGAGAAGCCAGGCCTTTCAAGATCTGGGCACTGCTGGCCTTCTGGCCTCATCCCGATGCTCATCCACATGCACCAAACCATCCCATAGTTGGGTTGAATTGTGTCCCCGGCTAAAATTCATATGTGGAAGCCCTAGTCCCCAGTACCTGTGAATGTGACTACATTTGGAGATAAGGCCTTTAAAGAGGTAATTAAGGCAAAATGTGGTCATTTTGGTGGGCCCTGATCCAACATAAGGAGACTAGGTCACAGAGAAAAGACCATGTGAAGACACAGCGAGAAGGCAGCTGTCTGCAAGTCACAGAAGCCCCAGAAGACACCAACCTGCTGGTACCTAGATCTTGGACTCTAGCCTCCAGAACTGTGGAAAAATTAATTTCTGTTTTTTAAGCCACCCATCTGTGGTACTTGGTTATGGCAGCCCTAACTAACCAATATAACCCTTCATTCCCAGACCCCTACAATGGTCCTTCATGCCGCCATGGTTTCCTGCATGCTGGCCCCTCTACCCGTCCCTTTCCTGTTGGCCTAGAAGACATTGGCTTCATCTCCAATGTTCAACTCCAACGGCTGGTCTCCTCATGCGATCTTTCCCAGCTAAAGATGGGTACCCAACAGTTCACCTGTGACAACACAGAGGCTGTGGCATTCATTTATTATGTGACCATCCCCTGTACTTACCCGGTGGCCCATCTCCTCACACAGTGAATTCTCTGGAAAAGGGACCTTCTGTTACTCATTTCCCCAGCCTAGCACAATGCGTATCAGAGAAGACATTCCATTAATGTTTGATGAGGGGACAAACAGGAGAATGGAAAGAAGCAGCAACAATAATAATGACAAAACTCACTGAACGTTTGCTATAAGCCAGACACTGTTCTAAGTGCTACTCTTATAATAATAACCAACTTCATCCTCCTAGTGACCAAATGGAGTAAACAATATTGTTATCCTCATTTTTACACGGGAGACCTAGGCATACCAAGAGAAGTAACTTACCCAAGGTCATACAGAGCCAGATATTTAAAACCAAGTATCTGGTTTCAGAGTTTACATTCTTAAGAAAATGTCTTCCATGGAGAAAGAAAAGGAGAAAAGGAAGAAGATTGGAAAGAAACAAAGAAGGGAAGAAATCACAATTGTGTAAACTTAGACAAAATAATTCAATTCTTTGAAACTCAGTTCTCTGCTCTGCTCATCTTAGGAAAGGCTCAAGTGAGATAATCTTCGAGGATACGTTGTAATTACAGAGTACTGTAGAACCACACAGCCTCTATTTTCAGTAGCCAGAAAGCAGTCAAGTAACCACAGGCCAGCCCCTTGAAGACTGGATTTTCGGGTGGAGCTATTTTGCATAGTAGAAAATTCTGAAAAGATACGTTTCAAGGAAGAGAAGAATAGGATAGTCAACCCTGAGGGGAAAGAAATGCTTCTCTGCCTACCCCCATCACCAGAAGTAGCACTGCCTTTCTGTAGCATTCCAGGGACTCATCCCCCTTATCACATCTCTGCCCCTGGAGGTGAGCATTCCAAAGGCCCTGACCAGGAGAGTCTCCGAGGATACCCAACAAGGCTGTTGCCCCTGGTTCAGAAACCACAGAAGACATCTTTGATAGTCCTACAAACACTGTTATGTTAAAATTTCGGTTGACTAATCCAATTCACTGGACTTAATACTTAGAACAGAGATCCCAATGTTACCCTTAGGTTAGAAGGATTTTCTGTTCTGTTTCAGACTTTGTTTTTTAAGTACTGTCTTCAGTGGATATCTCTCTCTCTCTCTCTCTCTCTCTCTCTCTCTCTCTCTCTCATTGAGAAGAGAACTGCACTGAGCATGAAACAAGGACTTATGGGACCTGGTAAAGAGACATTGTCTAGTTGTTCCACACCTGTCAAGACTCCTCCTCTTTGAAGGTTTTCAGATGACCTACTTACCTAGGCTGAGCAGAATGTTCAAGTGCTCGGAAGAAATCACCTGTAAATAGAAAAGCTATGTTTAACCTAATCCCCTTCAGCAGACGCTCCTGCAGTCTCTGTAATCAGCCCTGTGGTATCAGGTGAAGGTTCTTGATTATCTCCCTGTGGCATTGTGTCTCACCACATAGCTGATAATAAACTGATGGATTATCAAACAAGATTGCAGCTTTAGCAAATAAAATCATGTTTTGTGTTAAGAGAGAAAATGCTTACTATCCCTATCTGCCTGGCTAAATATTTACATATCACAGGCTTTCCAGGGTCCCTGTTCTTTCTAATCTGATTTTTAAAAAACAACACAGAGGTTAAGTTAACAGAAAGGGAACACACTGTGCTTTTGACACTAAGCTAAATGCCCCTCTGGGAGAAAACAGGGACTGCCTAAAAAGTGGAGTGAAATCCAAGGCCTCAGGTACAAAAGATAGAGCTGAGTGTGTTAGGGGAAACCAAAATGCCTACTTTAAAGGGAACATAAATGAAAGAGAATGGGTGTGGGTGTGGGTGTGGGTGTGTATAAGAGGGGGAGCAAATTGCTTGTATAAAATTTCATCCAGGTCTGTGGCTTTATACCTTTCAAAGCCTTTCTTATCCATTACCTATATTCTCCCACCCACCCCCATCCCCGCCCGTTTTCCTGTTTTTCCCAATCTCTCCATTTTACAGCTGACAGAGTGAGGCTAAGGAGAAGGTAAGTGACTCTCCAAAGGCCCTGGAAGGCAAGCCTCTGCTAAGTGAAATAAGTCCGAGAAAGACAAATACCATATGATTTCACTTACATGTGGGCATTTAAAGAATAAAATAAACGAAGAAACAAAATTGAAACAGACTCACAGATATAGAGAATAGACTGACGGTTGCCAGAGGGGACCGCCTGGGGAGCAGGGGGGAATGACGAAGGGATGAAGAAGTACAGATTGGTAGTTACAGGATAGTCACAGGGATGTCAAGTACAGAATAGGGAATATAGTCAATATTGTAATAACTGTGTGCAATGTCAGGTAGGTACTAGATTTATCAGGGTGATCACTTCATAAGTGATACAAATGTCTAATCACTGGGTTGTATACCTGAAACTAATACAAAATAATGTTGAATGTAAACTAAATAATTGAAAACGAAAATATTTTTAAAAGGCAGGCATAAATAACAAAAACAAACCAAAAAATAGGTCCTGGAAGGCAGGCCTCCTTGATTCCTCCTGCAGCCCCTTTTCTGTTGCACTTCTCTACTCTCTCTGCTAAAGAAATGGAATGGCCGAGGGTTTTTCTTAAAGCTTTAAGTATTCATATTGACAGATCTGAAGTTAAATTTCTACTTGGGTTAAGACTCGTGGACAGAAATGGATGTAACTTAAATTAGAAAGTGGACATTTTTAAATGCCTATCTTTTTAAAAATATTTTATTTATTTATTTATTTATTTATTTATTTATTTTAATCCTCACCCAAGGATATTTTTCCATTGATTTTTAGAGAGGGGGAAAGACAGAGAGAAATATTGATGTGAGAGAAACACATTGATTGGTTGCCTCCTGCACAAGGCCGGGAAGGAGCCTGCAACCCAGTTATGTGCCCTTGACCGGAATTGAACCCAGGACCCTTTGGTACGCAGGCCAATGCTCTATTCAGGAGCCAAACCAAACCAGCTAGGGCTAAATGCCTATCTTTTAAGAGAGAGAAGAGAAATAGAGAAATTGGTTTGGAAATTGTATACTGGTCAGTTTAAATTTGTTACCATCCAAGGGAAAAGTATTTGGCATTGATAACAGCCACGCTGGCTAGTTATGGAGCAAATTATTTCAGAATAACTGACCTCTCTCTATGGGTGACAGATCTTGCAAATATAGAAGAGCCAAGAGGCGTGATTCTCTGCACGTGAAAGTCAGAGAAGCTCTTGGTTCCAGTGACTTTATCTGTCACACAAAACAGCCATGGACTGACCTTCATTGCAAAGAAATATTTGTTCAGTAGACATTAGAGGTCCACAAAAGCACTTGGGCAAGATGCTCTATGCGTCTTCCTCCACTTAGTCACGGGTAGATGATTTTCCAGGCAAATCAACCAGTTATCATGGCATGAGAACATGCTAGCTCTCAGGCACCAGGCCCAAGAATCCAGGGTTTTATGCACATTTGGCCACCCAATGAATAGTATTGAACAAATAAAGAACATAACACATCATTAAAAAAAACTAACACTCGCCCTAGCTGATTTGGCTTAGTGGATAGAGTGTCGGCCTGCGGACTGAAGGGTCCCAGGTTTGATTCTGGTCAAGGGCACATGCCTGAGTTGCAGGCTCGATCCCCAGTAGGGGATGTGCAGGAGGCAGCCAATCAATGATTCTCTCTCATCATTGATGTTTCTATCTCTTTCTCCCTCTCCTTTCTTCTATAAAATCAATAAAAATATATTAAAAAAATAAATAAAACCTAATACTGTATTTCTCTTTTGTAATGGTATGTCATCTATACAATGCATCAAAAATAAACTAGTAAAATCACGACTTTTCCCTTTTAATAATTAGAAGTCTGAAAAAAAATACAAGTTTCTTAAAATAGAAGGAAGATAATAAATAATACAAATTATCTACAAGTTTATATACAGTGGGGCCTTGACTTACGAGTGTCCAGACTAACGAGTTTTTTGAGATACCAGCTGTCTCTCGGCTGATTTTTTGCATTGAGTTGATAGAGTAATTTGAGTTAATGAGCTCCTTAATGAGCTCCTTAACGAGCTCGGTCTCAGAATGAATTAAACTCGTAAGTCAAGGCCCCACTGTATAAAGTCAAGGCCCCACTGTAAATACTAGAGGCCTGGTGCACGACATTCGTGCACTGGGAGGGGGGGTGGTCCCTCAGCCTGGCCTGTGCCCTCTCGCAGTCCAGGATCCCTTGGGGGATGTATGCCTGCTGGCTTAGGCCTGCTCCCACAGGCAGTTGGACATCCCCTGAGGGGTCCTTCGTGTTGCCTTGGACCCCTGTGCTCGCCAGCCATGAGCCCGGCTTCTGGCTGAGCAGCACTCCCCCTATGGGAAGTCTGTCTCCTGGTGGTCAGTGCGCGTCATAGCAACCAGTTGTTCCGCCATTCAGTCAATTTGCATATTTGCATATTGTTATATAGGATCAGCAATGAAAGTGCATCTTTCCTCCCTCTCAATCTTTATTTTCCTCCCATCTCCAGATCTCCAGATTCTTTACAGTTTGATGTGTATCCTTCCAGATATATATATACACACACATATCTACACTAATAAAAGAGAAACATGGTAATTAGTGTACGACCGCTACCCTTTTCATTGGCTAATCAGTGAGTATATGCAAATTAGTTGTCAGCCAAGATGGCGGCCGGCAGCCAGGCACTGAAGCGAGCACGAGGCTTGCTTGCTACAGACTCCAACGTTCACCGCCTCACTTGCCGGCCTCTCATCTGCAAGTCTAAGCAACTATATACTATGTTGCAAATAAGAAGGTAAACAAAACCCCAGAAAACAGCCGGACTGAAACCCAGCCGGACCGAAACATTGTATCCATGTTTTCAGCAGCGAGGCCTCAGAGCTAAAGCTGGCCCAGAATAAAAAAAAAAAAAGTGTGTGAGCAGCTGCAAACAGCCATCATCCCCTCATCCAGGCTGGCCAGGCACCCCAGTGGGGACCCCCACCCTGAAGGGTGTGTGAGCAGCTGCAAACAGCCATCATCCCCTCATCCAGGCTGGCCAGGCACCCCAGTGGGGACCCCCACCCTGAAGGGTGTGTGAGCAGCTGCAAACAGCCATCATCCCCTCATCCAGGCTGGCCAGGCACCCCAGTGGGGACCCCCACCCTGAAGGGTGTGTGAGCAGCTGCAAACAGCCATCATCCCCTCATCCAGGCTGGCCAGGCACCCCAGTGGGGACCCCCACCCTGAAGGGTGTGTGAGCAGCTGCAAACAGCCATCATCCCCTCATCCAGGCTGGCCAGGCACCCCAGTGGGGACCCCCACCCTGAAGGGTGTGTGAGCAGCTGCAAACAGCCATCATCCCCTCATCCAGGCTGGCCAGGCACCCCAGTGGGGACCCCCACCCTGAAGGGTGTGTGAGCAGCTGCAAACAGCCATCATCCCCTCATCCAGGCTGGCCAGGCACCCCAGTGGGGACCCCCACCCTGAAGGGTGTGTGACCAGCTGCAAACAGCCATCATCCCCTCATCCAGGCTGGCCAGGCACCCCAGTGGGGACCCCCACCCTGAAGGGTGTGTGACCAGCTGCAAACAGCCATCATCCCCTCATCCAGGCTGGCCAGGCACCCCAGTGGGGACCCCCACCCTGAAGGGTGTGTGACCAGCTGCAAACAGCCATCATCCCCTCATCCAGGCTGGCCAGGCACCCCAGTGGGGACCCCCACCCTGAAGGGTGTGTGACCAGCTGCAAACAGCCATCATCCCCTCATCCAGGCTGGCCAGGCACCCCAGTGGGGACCCCCACCCTGAAGGGTGTGTGACCAGCTGCAAACAGCCATCATCCCCTCATCCAGGCTGGCCAGGCACCCCAGTGGGGACCCCCACCCTGAAGGGTGTGTGACCAGCTGCAAACAGCCATCATCCCCTCATCCAGGCTGGCCAGGCACCCCAGTGGGGACCCCCACCCTGAAGGGTGTGTGACCAGCTGCAAACAGCCATCATCCCCTCATCCAGGCTGGCCAGGCACCCCAGTGGGGACCCCCACCCTGAAGGGTGTGTGACCAGCTGCAAACAGCCATCATCCCCTCATCCAGGCTGGCCAGGCACCCCAGTGGGGACCCCCACCCTGAAGGGTGTGTGACCAGCTGCAAACAGCCATCATCCCCTCATCCAGGCTGGCCAGGCACCCCAGTGGGGACCCCCACCCTGAAGGGTGTGTGACCAGCTGCAAACAGCCATCATCCCCTCATCCAGGCTGGCCAGGCACCCCAGTGGGGACCCCCACCCTGAAGGGTGTGTGACCAGCTGCAAACAGCCATCATCCCCTCATCCAGGCTGGCCAGGCACCCCAGTGGGGACCCCCACCCTGAAGGGTGTGTGACCAGCTGCAAACAGCCATCATCCCCTCATCCAGGCTGGCCAGGCACCCCAGTGGGGACCCCCACCCTGAAGGGTGTGTGACCAGCTGCAAACAGCC